CTACTGCTCCAGCCTCCACGCATGGGAGGAACACGCCCCTGGGCACACGTCTCAGGCGTCTTAGACACGGTCGGGAATTACAATAGATGTCATAAGAGGACCCAATAAGAGTATTCAAAATCCTCAGAGGCATTGCTAAAAAGACAGAGGATGATTTCTTCGGAATGAGCAGTGAAACTCGAACCGAGAGGTCACAAGTGGAAACGACACAGGAAGTGCATACACAACCACAGACAAGGGCTGTGGGAGTACAGAACAAGTTCTTATTGAGACCAGGAACCCGGCTTCTTTCGAGAAGCAGCTGGATGAGATCTGTGGACCAATTAACTCTCAACCCCCAAAAGGGCCGTATGGGTCGAATGCACCCCTCCTAAAGATCTCTTCAACAACTCGCTCAAAGCCTCCGCTGGTGTGTCCAGCTGTTGTAACAGCGTATTCACGGTACTGGAGCAACTTAGTTTGAAGCACAAGCAGTCAGGTTGGTCATTTAAAATCTTTAATTCACATTGATCAAAATCTTTTAAAAACATGACCCCGGCAGGTCAAAGTAAACCATGCATGTGTTTTCTGACAGACTGGAGAAACATCCGCCACTTCAGTTTCCTGAATTTCTTTTTTTTGGACAAATTTGGAAGCATAAATTGAAACATCACATAGTTAGAAATAAAATATGAAATTATTTGGGAGCAATACGTTTCTGCAACATCCAATACGTGCCATCTTGCCATTTGTCATTCATTTAGGCGTGTAGACGCAGAATGTACAGTTGCATTTATTGGCCAACAGTTTAGTTGATTCGAGGGAATGAATAAATCAGGAATCTTATGTTTTAAGTTGTCATACTGAAAAAAAAACTTTTTACCCTACACCATAAAATATAGAACTACTTCAAAGAGATATCATGATGTATGGTAAAATATGAGTGGTAAAAACTGGTTTGTACAAAACATTACCTTTTGTCCTTTGGCACCGAAGGGCCCTGTATCTCCTTTTTGTCCAGGTGGACCAGGATCACCCTTCAGAAAGCAAGAAAATAAGCTTATAGTTGTGGAAAGGAAATTCCTGTTTCAATGATCTCACAGTTCCTTAGAAGTTAAGAAAATTCACAGAAAAGGACTGGTGCCTGTTCCCCATAAGAATGATTCACTAAGATTCACTAAGAGCCACATTTAAATGATACATTTACTGTGCACGACCACCAGAAATAACTACCGTTTTAATCTGCGGTGTGTGTGGAGCAATAAAATATGATTAAAACCAGAAGCAGCAGAACAGTACATCAAAACCTTACAGAGAGCCTCACCCTGACAAGCTCAGTCATCAGACAAGCTGTTTCTGTTTCAAGTCATCAACAATGCCAGCACTGTGCCCTCTTCAGGCAAATGTTAGCAGGATATAATTTTTTTGTTAATCTGGAATTAAGGCCAGTTGTGTGTGTTTTTAGGTTTTAGCTACGATCCCTGAGTGTCCCAAGAGCCCTTGCTGACTAACCGGCTGCGCTCGGCCAGGTGGGGAATCCCAGTCAGCAAGTGCCATGAGCCGGGCTCGAACCCGAGACACCTGCAGCATGGAACTCAACTGAGCTTTCACATCCCAGCTATTTCTGATTAACAAGCGGTAGTGTGACTCAAGAAGGAAGCAGTATAGAAAGAAAGCAATCTGTGAAGACAGTTTTACTACTAGGTTCCCTTGTGTCTAATCAACTCGCATGATCCTGTTTTTCTTTATCACATTGTCCCATTCAGGGAATATCGATATGTATTTACTACACATGACATTGTTCTCAGTATCTGTGGATTTCAACAGCACTACATCTGACTGCCTAAAACACAGGGAACAAATGTTAAAAAGAACAGACACTTCTGTCGGTTCTATCAGTTACATACAATAATTGTATGGTATCGATTGATTTTAAAGCATTTTTAAAGAAAACGTTTATGTATTTTACTACAAATACTTTCTAAATAATGAATAGAATGAAAAAGAGAAGAACCAAGGGTCAATGAGGGAGAGATTAAAAATATTCATTTGAATAGTGAATCCTATGACATTTATTCCAGAAGGGATATGAGAAATCTAATCTAGATTCTAGAAATACTGATTTCCTATTTTTTAACAACTACTGTACAACAATAAATAACAACAACAACTTTCTATTTTATATAACGCCTTTAAAAGTAGCCTCTCAAAGCGCAATGCAGTGCTCAGATTGCTGGATGTCACAATGAAATAAGGCATCTACACAGGTACCTCTAAGTTTAATTATTTTGTTATTTCACAGTTCTGATTGATACTGCTTACTGGAAATAAACTTTCAACCACTGTCGTTATTTCAACTGTAAACAGCAGCGGTATTTTTTTTTTACAATTCTTGACATAAGATACATCCCCGAATTGCACAGGAAGAAAAGCTGACAATCTTCTATCCACGGAGCTCGAAGGGGAAACAGCCAAGATCTGGACTGTGTACACTTACGTCAGGCCCTTCATCTCCATTACACCCTGGCAGGCCTGGGGGGCCTGTCTCTCCCTGCCCAGACAAGGGAAGATAGAGGAACACATTAGAGGTGCCGCTCACAGCAGCTACCTGAGCTCATCCTGGTTTCCGTAGTGTCAAACCGACTAGACTCCCCCCTGGATGGGACCCCTGTCCCTCACCGGAATGATCCCCACTTACACAGCTGGGTGGACTGGACCCACCCTGGTGCAGCGGCACTGTCTGCAGCAGGGACTCGAACCCTCAGCCATACACAGGCGGGCCCCCATTAAAAATCCCAGGTTTAAAAATCCCAGCTCTCAGGGTTAGGACCCGGAGAGCTGTGACGTGGAGCGAAACAATGAAAACAGGGGAATTATATATGTAAATATGGAGGTTCAGGACTATAAGGCTGTAAACTTTGCCCAATGCGATTTAAGGCAGGAGGCATTTCCCATAAGAGACTGGAAACCAAATAACCAAATATAGTAAGAGGGTACTGTTATAAATCCAGGTTTCCTTTTTAAATAATGCAATTTACAGAGAAATGACTTGAGTTGCATTCCCAACATACAAATGTCCCCACATTTTGCTCTGTTGTTGCTCTTGGCACAAGAAAACATACAGTTCTGTTTCTCAAATAACACAGCTGAGATCCCAACTGGAGTCAGAAAACACAAATGTTATTTTCACCCTAATAAAATTAACGAAACAATTAAAATGTGCAATTCAGTATTTCAGTCACACATTCATTTGAACAAATTGACAGATTCCCATCTCGGTGTTGCTGTCCATAAGCATTACAGTCTTAATTACGTCTGTAATAAAGTCATTGGGAGTTTTTAAGCTTTGGTTGGTTTTTGTATTTTTCCTGATATCAGATCCATTTCAGACTCTTACTCACTTTTTTGAAAAGTAACTAGTTATGGAACAAACCTGGGGAGTAATACTGTATAAAATTCAAAACGGATGTGTTAAAACTGAGCTTGGCCTTCCTAACTCAGATATTTTTAGCTGTTGTAATGAAAGGTATGTGGAGATACAAACCAAAGCTCCATCTTTCCCATCAACACCATTTGCTCCTTTTTCTCCCTGTTAAAGAGAAATACATGCAAGATAAACTAAGAGTAATTTTGTAAAAGCACACCATTTATTTGGAGTAAAGTACTGATGTCATTTTGAAAGAGACCGAATACAACTTGAGTTTGTCCTGTACTTTAAACTGGCCTGGATGCTTTTTAAAGAATATTAGACAAACAACTGAAGTAGCTTCACGTTCAAAAGCATTCCTTTGTCTTACATTTGGTGTTCACCGTGGGCCGTAAGCTTTTGTAAAAATGAAAAGATATCATAAGATAGAAGCTGAAGACTGTTGCGAAGAATGAACTGCCCAGAAAACAAATGCACATACTAACCTTTTGTCCAGAAAGTCCTCGATGGCCCTACAGAAAACAGAGTTAAATAGTTTTTATCGAACTTGTCTGATTAGAAACAAATAAAGGTGACTGCTTGGTATATTTTTTTCTGGCGACTCTCTGAGTGATTGAAAGCCCACTGTAGATGAACAATCAGCTATAGTTGTGTCTACGTAGCTGCCATATTATTTGTATAAATGTTTGGAATTCGGCAGTACTGTCTGACCTTACCTTTTCACCTGGAGGGCCTTTATCGCCCTGTAATGAGAAGAAGGTTGATCTTTAATATGGTAAAGAAGAGCACACATTAAGACAGGCTGGTGAACACAGCAGTACGCAGAACTTCCTGGCACGGCTCTTAAAGGGAGGCATGCAAAGATAAAGATCTTAATCCAGGGGAGGCTGTTAAAAGCTGTGTTTTATTTTTCGTTTGGCATTGGAGAGTTTCTAAGCGCAGAACACTTGTGAAATAAACCACATACGCGATGAACACTATTGAGGAACTTGCGAGCACCTACCAAAAGCTAGCAAATCAGAGGTACTGAGGTACAGAGGTACTTTTCTGTTCTTTTAACCTAATAGTTAAAATAATAATAGGACCATCTTTCTTCCTGGGTGGTACCTTAACTAAATAAAAACGAATTACCTTTTCTCCCACATGACCTGGGGAACCCTGATCCCCAAGAATTCCCTGTAAGGATAAAGGTAACAGGTCGTCACACACCGTCAAATCGATTTGGCCCTAATGCGTATTAAGAAAATACTCTTCTATAAAAAATAGCAGTTCAGTACTGTAGACCTTACAAGAACTCGGTTCCTATGGTTTCTGTAATTCCCAGCACACCACTGGGTGTTTTTAATGTTTATGTTTTACATTCTGACACAAGAGGCAGCAGGCAGTGGTTCTAGGTAATATGCCCCTGTCTATACTGTATGTGCTGAAAGGTTTTCCATTTTGGTGTAGCAAATAGAGCTTCTTTGGGCTTTTTGTGCCTATGGTGAAAATGAGTGGGGTGTCTAAAGCCACATCTAATCACAGTGAGATCCCATTAGAAAAGTAACTAAACAAATGTTGTCCAGTCTCCATAGTAACATACCTAAAAAGGCCAACATGTGACTAAACTAAACTTCAGTGGATAAAATACACTTTAGTGCCTAAATAAAACATTTGAGAGTGCATGAATGATAACACTCATAGGAGACACAGGTGAAGGATTCCACCTACTCTAATGTCTCCGGTACTTGATCTGTCAAAACCCTTTGGTTAAGTGCTTACTACAGTATCTGTATTGCCTAATTTTCAAATCAGAAATTGGAAAACCAATTATTTAGCAGGCCGAGTGCCACATACAGAAATTAGTAAAATAACAATTTTACGCTTTACATCAAACAGCCACAATAGTATAATACCGTACGTTCTTATAATATACATCCTTGAAAGCCCATACGAAGTGTGTTCACATACACTGTACACAGGCTTATCTCCATGTATCACTAAGAGTGAAATATTTCAACACACCTTTGGTCCAATACCTCCGGGCTTCCCAGCAATACCTCGTCTTCCAGGTGTTCCCTACAAAACAGCATTGGGCTAATGAACCATTTCTTTTCACTTACAGGATTAGACAGATTTTGTTTTTCACAGTGCAAGACAGTGCACATTCTGACTGCGAAGGACTGTCAGCGCAGCGCCACGCACTCAGATCCTATTCAGTCCCTACCAGAGGAGTTCTGCACCATCACACCTGGACGTTCTGGTGGATTTTGTCATGGGGCCCGTGACCATCGTCTATCACGGCTGGACTGTGTTTGGTTGCAGTGCTGTGTCAGGCGAGAGTCTGCTGAGCACCCCAGGTGGCAAGTGATGGTGTGTTGACCAAGTGTGGACTCCAACCTACCTTGAGCTCTAAGGCATTGCTCTCTTGATGGGGGGCGGGGGCCGGGGGGGCACCAATGCATAAAAAGTGATGTATTTCTATGGCTTCTAGAAATCTAAGGGTTCCCTGTCATAAAGGTTACCCTTTACAGCCTATGCAAGCCACTGTCTGAAACACCTGGGCTCAGTTAGGGGGACCCCCTGACACCCCACATTTGTCAGAGGGGAAAACCCACATTACTAGTCCCAAAATTATGAGCATCCACATTTTAGGATTGACAGGACCGGCCAGCATCAGACTTCATCTCTAAAAAAAAATTCATCTCTACTTCATCCTTAGCCTCTACTTGTTCTTGCGTGCTTAACGCAGAGCACCCCACTCTAACATAGCCCACGGTTCCAGTTCATGTATCTTCAGATACATCCAATCCAGTACAGTTTACATTTGACATGGACAAGCATTTCTAATTCAACACATATTTTACCAGATATTTTTACATACTGTATGTTTCTGAAATACATACAAAAACAATACGTAAAATATATTGTGAAATATTTAGTGCAGCATTTTTATATTCATAACCATCAATATTTCAGATGTGATTTTCTGAATAAATACTTAATAGATTGTGCAGTAGATATCTAATATACCTAATGTCAGAAATCACATTTAGAGGTGATAATCATACCAGAGGTGAAAATGTTAATGGATCTGTGCTTCCATCAGTCTCAAATATGTTTTTTCAATCTTGTGAGAAACTCCTGAATACTTGATGTGTCCAAGTGCATATTGCCAAATCCAAGTTGACTCCCAACCATGCGATCAATTTTCTTCTAATAAACATACTTTTGTCATAGACAAGACTTATCATTGTCCACCAAAGTTTTGAAACTACAAATCTTCAGCTTCATTAAAGGACTTTCCAAATTCCTCAAATTGTGCCAGGAATCCAATATGGCAGCCAAACCATGTGACTAACTATAACTTTCAAACCGATACAACATGCATGAACTCTGAAGCATGATTTCTTGCCAAGTGGTTTAGATTTCATACGTATTTGAAAATACCAGAGAGGCAAAAACTAAAGAAGAAACAATCCTGGCAATATCAACTCAGTTCCAAGAATTTTGATGGCTGCTCCCCAAATAACTGCAGCAGATCTGTCAGTTCATAAAAGACAAGCTAAGGTTGTGGTCTGTTTTATGGCCCAAACCTGCATTTTAAAACTAAAACCCATAACATTTAAAAGCTGTGTATTACACAAGGTGTCTTAAAATACCAATGATGATGCTTTGAAGGAAGGACTAATTTGGCTTTAATGCCTCATTTCTACACTAATAACGTATACTTATACATTTTTTAATACTCTTTTAGCCTTGGGAGTAAGCTTCACTTTTACAACAGCAAAAAAAAAGTCTTAAGGGATATTCTGTGTAAATCAGCTCAGAAGTAATGACTGTTTTACAACACAGCTGTTCTGCATGTACTTGAGTAACTTGAGTAACTGCTGAAAGAATTCTTGTAGGACGTTTACATCCGATTTACTCTTTCTTCACAGCCCCTTTATTTTATAATCGTGACAGGTCAGATTCACATCTCTCTTTACTTCAGGAAACATGCCAGCTCTTTGATTAGGTTCTTTGCCTGAAAAGCGTGAGCCCTTCTCGACCTCCAGTTTTAGCAAAGGATGCAAAAGAAAACGTTCTAGATGTTTTATTGACTTCACAAATTTCTGTTAATATTCTTACCAATTCTGTTTGCAATGAGCTTTGTGTCATAAATCTTTAGACCACTTTCCCTGAGCTTGATTCACTTCCATTTCCTTATGTATTTTGTCTCATAATAAGATATACTAGCTGGACTGGCTGGAAATCTTCTCCGAGATTAAAAATTGGATGACAGGGTTATCTGTACTTTACCGCTTCTCCGCTGTCACCAGCAGGTCCAGGAATTCCTATTCCAGCCTGCAAATCCAAAAGAAAGACACTTATCAGCAGACTGCTTTGGCTACTGAAATAAATCACTGATACTATGCAAAGAATTGACTGCTTCCAAGTCCAAGTCCTGATCTTTACCTTGCATTCGTATGTGCAGCACTGAAAAGGAAGACAAGTATATGATCAGATAATGAGTTTCCAATCATTATTTTTTACAGGTTATTATGTCAATGTAATTCATGTACTGTATATGATATGCACAGTGCCATAATATGTATGCTAAAATAGAGAGCTGTACAATTTTATACTGAATTGTTTGTCCACATAAAATACAACATGATTTGAAAACATGCACTTATTTATAGTACAGACAATATAAACTATGGCACACATATATACAGTAAATGCACCATTGAAACACTTTATATGTTACATGTTCATTCATCTTTACTTAACTCTAAGTGCATCCTACATGACATGAACTGACATTCAGCTTAAAGATCAGTATCTTTCCGAATCCACTCAAAAGCTGGAGAACAGTTCTATTCTCTGCCTGCCCCCGAAGCGGAATGAATCAACTCACCAAAGGCTCTGATTCCTTGTACTGCAGGAAGGGAGACAGAAGAGACACAATCAGTAGGACAACCTGTTTAAAGTGAGAAATCCACTCTTTTTATTGGAACGAGGGCCACTTACAATGGTGGAGATGATGGTGTTTATGGTGTTTTTTACCACAGCTGGGTTCTCGCTAGTGGCCGACAGGTTGAGTCTGTACTGAACATCAGTTGCAATGGAATTCAGTCGGTTATCCTGTGTCAGAAGCAGAAGACTCAGTCCTGATACAACTCTTTTTCTGTTGATGATGCAACGCATGTCTAACCTGTGGTCTTTACGTAGAAAGACAATAACCTTTTAAAACAATCTTCTGCAATTTAACAGAGGGCTTTATACCTTAGCCACATTGGAGGGAATGTAAAAAGTTTGCACGGTACAAAAACTACATATCTTACCTCTGTGGTATTAAAACAAACCTCAGATGTTGGCTATTTAAAATATTTTACTGTACTTAGTCAAATTTCACCCTTAAATTTTATATTCATCCAGGTTGCTAAACTGTTCTAATACTGGACACTGTATATTTCCCACGTTTTCACTGCAATAGCACAGATCACAGCAACACTGCATTGTAACTGAAACACCGGAACTGCACGGCTGTACAGTACATACAAACATTAACTGTGCTTGGCAGGGTCTCCCATCTTATGATATCCTTCGTACTTAAGTCACCTGCAGTTGTCTAGACATTGTCTTTGCAGATAACAGACCCCTCTTGTTAGCACGGGTCTCTGGTACATACAGTTCAGCAGCTCTTCCATTCAGAGAAAGCTTGTCCTTGTGTGTACCACCTTGCTAATGAACAAAAACCAGACACAAGATAATATCAAATATTTCCCCATTTGACATCATTCCAATCTGAGTTCGTAGTTGTTTTTGGGCGGATGTAACGGACTAAATCCATTGGGATTCTATAGCTGAGCACGGCCACCAGCGACGGAGGTCTTTCTCAGCACCAGCGGCCTGCTGCATGGCAGTCTCTGCACATACCAGATGATCAGGAGAAATGGCCACACCGAAGATTTTAATATCCATTCCTTTCGCTTCGGTGACGGCATAGCTGATTCCCCCACAGGGCTCCTTGTAGCCATCGAACGGATGCCCATCTGTTACAACAACCATGTATTTGTTACCGTGGAAAGGTGAGCTCCTGAAAGAGAACAGATCAAGGCCTGAATTGGTAAACAACAGAAACTGCAATGCTGACAGAAATATCAATTATTTAATAAATGGCATAAAAGGATGTAGCAGCATTTTGTGGTGTAACTGTTGTACTGCAACAGGAAAGCAAACTATCATTAGGTATCAGTAGAGAATATTAGTTACAAGGAAACAAGAACTGTCGTATGATTTAGAGGACAGTGACTTCCTCAGGGAAGTGGTCACAGTTCTTCTTTTTCTTGTAGTATATAATACTCTCCTTCCGAATGAGAAGACCTTGTGAGGATTTTGAATCATGATCTAAATAATTGACATCCCTTTGGGCAGCTCTGTGCTGAAGGTGGCAAGCTTTTACTTCTATAGTTCTGCAGGTATTTGCCCTAGAAGAACTCTGAGAAACTAAATTGATGTTATCAGGTGCTTGGAAGAAGCTGTACCGCTTGAGGGATTTTATACCCCATATGAGCGCGTGAAGATCTCGGTTGTAAATCACCTTGACAAGACGCTGAATAAAGACACCACTTACTGAGTGAGAGGATTGCAGTCCAAACTCAGTATTCAAAGTCTGAACAGGGAACAGGGGGTTCAGTAGCTATGAATCATTTGTGTTAGTCATATTGTAGTTAAGATCATACCTCCATTGAAAAATAAAATTAAACTGTATCAATGTCAGTGATACATTTTGCAAATACACCACAGTATCAACAGTTATATTTGTAATATTACCTAATCAGCACAGTTCTTTAGCAATACTTGCTATAAAGTAAACTTTGAAAATGTTATAAAACTATTTTTTTTGCGTAAGCTGATTTGAAATGAAAAATGTGTCAGACAGAAAGGGGGTTAATTAAAAATGTCCTGAAGTTATTGCAATGCTCAGAAAATGTAAAAGAATATTTTACTTTTTTCGCTTTAGATTACAAAATGGTTTCAGGCATATAGGTGTATATGCTTATTCAGCCAAAAGAACAAAACTAGCCTTAAATGCTGATTAATGGCAGTAAGTAATTCTTTGGACAGTAATCCTTCAGACAATAGCACTGACAGTCTCTTCTATTTGATTTATTTTATTAATCCCAATAATATTGTGAGGTACTTCCAAAAATGAAATAGTTGAGATTTTCTTTTCAAAAAGCCCCTTTTTACAAGAATTTGTCCCTTTTTAAAGTTCCTGCCCATTGTTTTACAGAACTGACGCTAGGACCTCAGAAGATGCTGGGGTTCTCAGTCCCGCACACACCTCATCGGGATTGAGAGTAAGTGCAGGCAGGAGGCGAGAGGCTTGGGTTACCCTGACACCAGCTGCCCTGTGGCCACAGCAATGGCACAGTCGGTGTGCGTGCCTTTTCCAATGTAGCGCACATCTTGGATGGCCTTCTTCAGCTTCCCGCTGCCGGTGGCCATACTGGTGAGCTCACTCATGATCTTGACCTCATCGCTGTAGTGAAGAATCCCTGCGTTCCAGGTCAGGTTGCGGTCACAGCGGTAATACCTGTGCTCGAGATCGAAAGAGAAATATTGAGATTATCAGGTGGGATCAGCAGCGGTGACACGGCCGCTCGGACCAAAACAGCCTGCTCCACACGACGTAACAACTGGACCTGCAGCACAGTTCCTGTATGTTTCAAAATAAGAGAGGAAAATGCAACAGCCACGTAATATCCCAATATTTAGCCATGGATTCCTTTAAATTGGAGTGAATATTAATGCAAGTTCACTCTATAGTGTAAAGAGGTCTAGCTGATGGTGAGGATGGGATCTATCTATAAATGTATGTATCTATATACTGTATGAAGTGGTGCTCGCTCAACCACAGAGACTGCTTCAATGTGTGTGGAGGTGAACAACACTGATTCGTTAAGTCAGGAGATCATACTTTACAGGAAAGCTCATAATGGATTTTCTAAAGCAATTGCATTGTAAAATGAAAAGGTGGCATCAAGAAAAACACATTTGGGATAACCTCTGTCTTGGAGAGAGGCATTGCTCCATTATTTAAGGATGTTATGAAAAGAAGGTTGTTGAGCTGTGGAAGACATACTGTATACAGCTCATCAAAAGAATTGGTGAAATTCTTGTCAAACGTGAGAATGAAAACCTACTTTGGTTCCTACTAAGCTTTATAAATGTGTGTTTCCACGGTAAAATGCACATCTGGACAGAGGATTTGAAATGTCACAATGACCATGCTAAATCAATCTGTCCTATGACTTTTTTGAAATATCAGCTCCCTGTCAGATATTAATTGTATGACATTCAACAAGAAAAACATGATGGTGTAACACAGATACGCTTGTCACAAATGTGAAAAATTCAATTCAAAGCAAAAGTAATTTCTAAATCTTCACAGACAACAATAGCTAAGAATATTACTTTGTTAACTGTATCTAATACTTACTGTAATTGACAAAAATTACGGTTATTGTTGATCATGTACAAACCTGTTGTTCAGCTGGTCCACAAAGTCTAAAGCGAACTGTTTGATCTTCTCAACAAAAGAACCGTATGGCTTGACTCTCAGTGCCACACTCTCAGAGGTGTCCAGCACAATGTAGACATCAGCAGGACATTCTAAACAGAAAGACCTCAACAGATCACAACCTTTCAACGTTACATACACATATCAAGAAATGGACAATTTCTTCAATCCTAAAAGTTAATCAGTGTACTTACAATATCCATTGCCTTACTCACTGACTTACTGTATTAATGAACATGTAGTTACAGTAGCTCCATTGGCCTTGCATTCATAACCAAGTATTCTAATTGGCTTTATTATTGCTCCTGCATGTTATCTATCTGTGAAAAACTATAATGGTCCCAGCACTGAACCCAGTGGGACTCCTACTCGTCCAGCCCAGATACTTCTCATTTTACTATTACTCTCTGTTTCTGGCTTTTTCCTTTCTTATGAAGTGAATGCTTTTTTTCCAGATATAGTTATCTGAAGGACCTAAGAGGTTCAATGGTATTAGCCAATACAGTTTCATAAATAATATGAATGTCTTGCTTTGAAGTTGCAAATAGTTTTTGCTGTATTACATTATTTTACTAGCTCAATACCGAAATGTGGAAGTCCACCTCTGCAAGAAAGTGTATTTAGTTGCAAATTGAGTGAAATGCGGGAATGCTCTCCCGTTTCTTTTCAAGATCCAATTTTGAAATTAATTCCTAGACTCTAACAAGGACTCCAGGACACAGTGGTATAGTAGAGCAAGAACCACGCCAGTTTAATTAATTAATTTATTAATGAAGTAATAATACAAAATATACAAATTGATTAGTTGCTACTGATATGTTAATGCGAAATAACTGTCCTACTTAATACACGGCCACGAAACAGAGCAAGATAAATGAGGAGTTTTAAGCCTACTTGATTTCAAGATTATCCTTTACTTGTAATATATTCTATAGGGAATAGTTTCTGGCATATTTGGACGGTTTTATGAATGGCTTGTAGACAAATACAGTACATATGTTTTTAATAAATATAAAACAATTTTCGACAGAGCGTGGGCGCAACGGTTTCTGATTTTAAATCCATGTGTTGTAGATTTACGGTATTTTCTAACACGCTTGTATCTATTACTTCAGTTAATGGTTCATCCAAGCATTAGACAGGAAATCAGTTTTGCAAGGAACAGATGAATTAACAAGGAAACCCACGCTACATACAGTAAGGGCGGATCTGTCTTGAGACTACTAATGGTAAAGAAATTACCGGAGTACAGTATTAAATAAGGACAGCAGAAATGTAATTAAAAGGTAATGAAAACTGGCTGATCATTTGAAAAATGTCCACATGCCACATTTTCTAGGACTATGTGAATCTAAGTACTTAAAAAGTATCAAGGAACCAGACACTGTTCAAATATCGATAGATGTCTTCCTCTTACACCATCGATTGGTACAGATCTGTTCAGACGCTATCAATATTATTTTCCCTTACTTTCTCCCATCTGTTTTAGGCATTAAACCAAACACAAATCAGTGCATTACTCCCTGCCTTTTATCACGGCTTTTACTATTCGAGAAACTGTGTAAGTAACACTGCGGTTAATGTGTTGAGTGCTGTGTCTTCTGCCAGAATTCTGCGACTTTGTTAGCCTGGAAGTCACTGCTGTATCAGTGAGAAGTTCACAGTACTATTTAAGCGCGTAAGATCTAAAGTTTATTTAATTACCTTAGCAGGGGCTGATTTTCTGTAATAGCTTTACCAATGCGTTTCCACTTTATTGAACCCCGGTGATTAGTTAACACTTCTAAGAAGACAATTCTCGCCTCCTCGGCGTCTTTTCATGCAAACTGTTTAGGTCAGTTATAGTAGCTTCTCTGATCTTTCAGCACGTTTATTGGTAACAGGGGTAAACATCATTTGTACAAAAAGTGAGTGAAAGTGTGCGTCTTCAACAAAAAGCAGATTTTTTAAATAACTTTTATTTTGGTCGTTGTTTCATTATCAGCTGAGTCAAATCAGGAATGAAAGCGCTGGCTGGCTCTATCTTGCTTTTTTTTTAATCAGATGTTAGTCCTGATTAGGAATACGTCTGCCCCACGCCAGGCAGGGGCCGGATTGAAAACGGCTAGGATTACGCCAGGGGTCCTGTGTATAGTACAGTAATGAAGTAACAAGACAAGCCGTATAAACAATGAAACCAATCATACAGCATGAGGAATGAGGGTGTCATGGTCGAATATGTGTTTATGGAAATGATCTAAATACGTGTGTGACATGTTTAGAAATGTCTGGACTGGAGCCCAAATCATAGCCATATGCAACATCTCTTACCGTAGAAATTATTTTTCACCTTGAGAAAGCCGTCCGCCGTGTACACGAAGTGCAGCAGGACAGCTGTCCTGAAAAGGGAGACCATGGCGGATGAATTGCCTGCTTCTCTTGGCGTGAGGATATCCTTACACAGTAGGTAACCTTTTAGAAAGCATAAAATAAGACAGCGTTTTATCTCAAGAAAAACTTTCATTAAGAGGTATGTTTTTTCAATTTAAAACTACCTTAGCTGTATTAAGTACTTCAGTCTGAACACAGAGCTCTTGACAGCATGTTTTGAACGCCATGCTGGTAATAATTATGATTTTTTAAACAAAAATGGAATATAATTACTGCCTTAACCTGCTCTCCTTAATCACTCCTTAAGATTATAAAAGCATATTATGAAAGTATATTATTATAATACAATACTTATTTTTAACATAAGGTTTCACTTCAAACAGTAATTCATATTATTTGTTATTTCTATGAGGACTGTTAAATTTTAACACAAAACAAAAGTAGATTTTCAAAATTTAATTACAAATAAAAACAATCTTTGGCCTTGGGACAGTGCCTGTTTTCAATAACTTTGTACATACTGTATGTTCTACAGCACCTTGTAAAATCTGTAGAAAATAGTGATTATTCCTATAAAAAAGAATACCTTTATTCTGAATCAAACATTCAATTACTACTACAATATTAAATATTTCAGTGTATTATTTCAGAGAAGATCATACACAGAAATGGTCTTACCTCGTTAGCTTTGCATTGTAAAGATTCTTTTCTTCTGCAGCTCCTTACCTCATCCAGGTGAGTGCTTCACTCTCCTCATGCAGGAAAGGGAGGAGAGTCTCCTTCAACACTCCCTCCTGGAGTGAACCGAGTCATCTCTTCTCAGGTGATGGTCCCATCAACATCATCAAACCATGAACCATTACAGTCTTTAATATAATAGTCTTTAACATCCCAGGCAAACAGACAAAATATGCATGCACTCCATTTCAACTTTTCAGTGCTGGCTTCAGCATCTGTATTTTCAAGAACTAGTCATTTTTAATGTTTAATGATTTAGTGCATAGGTAGTAGACCTAGAAGACTGTAGGTGATTTGTTGCTACTTAATTTACCACATTCAGAAGTTTGATATTGCAGTACAAGGACACAAGGCAATTGTAAAATAAAGTGATTGTAAACATCCTAATCAAATACATTTAAATATGGGAAGAGTTATGTGCTTTTTTGTTTATTATTTAATAGTTTCTGTTTTTGCTGCACCTCGACAGATATCTCCATGATTTAATTAATGTGAGCCATGGTACTTCTGTCTGTGTAACTGCTAAGGTTTGGTTGTGCTTCTTAATGACTTGAAGCCTTAGAGAACACCAGTGTCAGTGAATCTGTCATCTGAAAATATATAATGTACACTTATTTTATCCCTGGATAGGAGTGTGTAAAGTATTTGTTGAAATAGGTAATTAAGCACCCACTAGGGAAAAGATGAAGAATTTAATGGGAGGTTACAAATTTAAGAAATGATGTTCATTGCTCTTTACTGTCTATATTAGTTCAGAACATAGTTTGAGGTACGTTGGGCATGAGTGGGCTTGTCTGTGTTTGTGACTTTGATGGTAGAAGTGCACAGATGTTCTTTTTCCTCTTTAGTGGAGAAATGTATGACACTCCCCATCCAGAAAGTTTGAAAATTTGCTAGAGTACTGGCAAACAAGAACATCAGTGCGTATGGAAGATGACAAATGAGACGAAGCCATTTGACCCATTTAGTAGTTCGTTGCTGATCCAAGCAATTTGTAAAAGGAGCCTTGTTCTTGAAGTTTGTTCCCTACTCCCAAAACTCTTGGCATAAAAAAGTGCCTTCAGTTCTTATTTTTAAAGGCACTTTCATGCTGTTTTTGCTGATGTATCTGGCTGGTATTTCACGGTTTATTCTGAAGAACCCATGGTTCATATTGATGGATACTGACAGACTCTGGGTTGTGGTCTTTGTGTCTGTTTTGTAAGATGCCAAACAGAAATGAAAACAAGAGTAACTGTGATAACGTCTCAATGCCATTTTTTCAACATCCTGAATTACAGAGAGCAGTTTCAATCGAAAGGCACTGCCTCAGAAAGGGAAGAAGGTGAGGCTGTAGAATTCTGCACACTGGCTGTACTGTGTGGAATGTCAGTACAGTTGAGTTTGGTTGCATATGGGCTTTTGTGTAGTGTCCCAATCCTGACTGTCCTTATAGACTCTTCAATTCACAGTCTAAGTTGCCCATTCTCTGTTTTTTGTCTTACCCTCTATAGCATGCTGTCAGGAGTAAGCAAAGTCTCACATGTAGCTGCTTGTCTTCAGTTTAATTCCTTCCATTTTGACAGAAAGTTTCAATTCACAGGAATCTTGCTTTATCCCATCTCTCAAACTGCAAACTGGTTACACTGGTCTCATTGTTATTAATCTGTTTGTGAACCAGAGGGAGAGTTAAATACTGAAAGAAGTAATGAAAGTATAGAATTCCATTTTGTTCGTAAATGAACAAACCATGGCTAGTCATGGTTACACTTTCATAAATAATTAGAGTTCCAGATTTTTAAATTACTACAGTACACAGCTGCATTGTGGAATATCAGATTGTAATACATTATACTGTTTTACCATTTTTTGACATTAGTGGAATTGTGCCAGGCACACATCCAAATGATGTCACGCCCTTAGTGAAGATAACCACAATGTGTTACTTGTAGCTTCACTAAAGATGCAGCGCAGTTTAATGGCTAAAATAGCATGGTCTCCTAAATCATTCAATCCAATCAAATCAAACTGCAATCAGTCAAAATCAGTATCAGTCATCGCTGACATTTCCCACTTTACAGACACTCTGAGGCAAAACCAGGTTTATCCCCGAATTAGATGGGGATTTCAAACAGCAGAAATGAGTTTCTAGGAAAGGAAACATTACCTTCTCATCAGAAGTCCCTTGACATCTCCAGATTAAAAAAAAAATGTCTATATGCTCCTTTATAGGACTCCTGAGTACTGGGTTCAATGTTAAACATGGAAAATATCTGTCTCTAAATGTTCACATATTTAAAGTTTGTGAGAATGGCCCTTCAGTTCCAAAAATGTAGGGTTCTGCAATGTGTTAATAGAATCTCAGAGGCTTGATTTCCAATGAACTGTTGCCCTCAACATAAGAGACCTGTCAGATTTCGTTATTCAATATGTGGATGTGGCGGTCTCCATAGGAATCTTCAGCTGACGGACGAGTGTTTGCTTTATTTGTCCTGTCATCCATCAAATGACTCTGAAAAGAAGGGCGACGATGGTATGAGACTAAATTTACTTGGAGAACAAGTTTTAACACATTTCAGCCAGAGGCCTAATTTTCATGCCCCATGTAGTGGAAATCCACCATTTCTGCTGAATTTCTGCACTAAAACCACAACAAGCGGGCTTCATTGCTCAGAGATTAGTCGATGCATGCATTTTTGTGTTTCATTTTCACATGGAAACTCCTTGCAAAACTTAGCTACTGGAATTTGAACTTTGAAATAGAAAATCTGAATTTTATCCCACAATCTTACAATAAGATTTCATTTATGTTCATTTATGCTATGACGTAAATGCAATTATGGAGTATGATAGAATTTACACACTTGAGTTCAAATATTTCATCATAACCAATCCATTCTATGATTGTATGTAGAATAATGTAGAATAATGTTAAATATCCCAGCCAGCCAGCCATTGATAGCCACCATCAATGCACACAGAACCCAGACAGACTTATACGAAGTGAAGTGCAAATTGAAATAAGACAGTGGTATCTTTTTGCTTTGAATAATATATATTGAAGATTTGTTTGTGTGACCAATAACTGTGAGTCAGTGAAAGTAGAAGCAAACTAACGAAGGAGATTACAGGCATGGAGCCCCATGCCAGAGAACCACGCTATGTGAAGAATGTCACGTTAAGTGCTGCAGTAATTATCTCTATTAGAAAGGTTGACTGACAGACTCTGTAAGTGAAAGGAGGCTGCCCCAGCTCCCAGAACAGAGATTGTTTACATTGGTTTTCTCAGCTTAAGAGAAGGATCCGTGAAGTTTATATTTTGTGAATCGAATGCTTCTAGGATTCTGGAATACATTATTCCCTTGCCAGTGATGGAATGTGGACAGACAGAAGAAGTGGTGAATAAAAGCAGATCGACAAGCAGAGGCATATGTTAAGTTGCTGCTGCAACCTAAGATTGAAATAGCACAGTGCATGAGTTTCTATCTCAGGTTCATTAAGCATTTATCTGTTTGTGCTTCTGCAGTGCTTCCTTGGTACATCTGTAGATGATATCTCAACTTAGCCCTGAAACAAAATCTCTTCCAAATCACTAATACAAAATCCGAACAGTATATCTTTGCCTAATAAGTATACATACACAAATGTTAATGTTTCCAGTTTTTTTATACCGCTTTTATTTACTGATGAATTTTAGAAAAGATATAAAAGTAATGAGCATTACACAGCAGATAACTTCCTTTTGCAGAACTTGTCTGGCAAGGCCACAGAAGGATATCATATTAGTCTTCTTTTCCTTTTAAAGCAATAGAAGATTCTAAGACTTAGGAGCTATGAATCTGCTTTATATAGTCTAACTCATTCAATACCTACCCAGCACACCACTGATAGTAAAGAAAAACTATTGTGTAACAGAGGCCTATCAGAGAAAAGTGTCAACCTAATAACTTTAACCTACTGCTTTATTAGTAAAATGAAATAAAAATAAATTCATAAGACAAACACAGTCAGGTGTGGATGTGATTACATGACTAACAATTATTCAACTTCACCAAAAGTAGTTAAAGTTGGTCCAATGATTTAATGTAGTGTCAGAATTAAAAAAAAAACGTTAACAGTAATTTACTTTGAAATAAACCAGAGTAAAACGACCCCGAATAAAACCAGCAGAAGATTTCCTTTTTGCTTGAGACGTCCTCCGTGCAGGGATTCTGGAGCGCACAGCAAACCAGCGGTATCAGTGATCAGCGCAACTGACTGCGCAGAGAATCTGCAAAACCAAATATATACAAGACGGAGTAAATATAACTAAAAAAAAAAACCTTTTTCCATTTAAAGGTGCGGCCCGTTTATTTTGAACTCCCTGTTCGTCTGATGGTGCCAGTGTGGATGCTTTATGGACAAATGAATCCAGCTTGTGTCCAGCAGCCTACCTTCTCGCGTCCGGGGCGGGAGCCGAGGAGGGGCTGGACAGCATTAACAGCCAGCGACCGTCGGTGAGCGCACGGAGTCGGATTTCCCGAGCTCTTCAAAGGCGCATCTCTGTGAGTATTGCAATGGCACTTGAAGTCAGTCCGATTCTTTCCTAACCTGTTTATAACAGATTTAGATATCCTGGTTAAATATTTTATGTTTAAACATATGCATACTTGCGGTATTGGTTTTCAGTGTCTCGAGGAAGCGCATTTCTTTATTCCTTAATATTACCGTGCCAGTGTGGCATATTAAATGACATATTATTTGGGGCCATTTTATAATGACATTATGGAGGGGCTTTGCTGGTTCGAAGCCGGTTGTGCTTGTGTGGAGTTTGCATGTTTCCGCCTTCGTCGGTGTTTTTTCAGGGTATCCCAGTTTCCTCCACACACCGCGCAGGTTAATTTGCTTTTCTGACCTGCCACCCGTATGCGCGCGTTTGCCCCGAGACAGACTGGCACATACAGTCCGCTTTATGCGCTGTTCCTGGCGAGCTGGAATTCTCTCACATTTTTCTTTTAACTTAATCAGAAAATGGCTAAGTGTTATAGAGAATAATTTAGAGTATTCTCCAGGAATAACGCGGTTACGGAAAATGAACGGGTGTTTATAAGATGATAGTTATAGAGTCTGCTCATTTGGCTGCAGGAGATTTTATCTTATCAGTATTTGAAAACGAATGTCATTTTGATCATTATTCTCTAATGAAACAAAGTGTAAAATTAAAAAAAAAAGTTTTCTAAATTGTTGTGAAGGTGGATCAAACTTGCCTAACTGCATGTTCATCTTTTATTAAATTCTTCATAAAATGTTTAGTTCGCCCTCAATTTATTTATTTATATTTTTGGCATATTGTGAGGACTTCTCAGCAGCCATTATTTCAAGATTCCTCCTTGTTTGCTATGCGAGATGTTTAACTGATACCGATCTATTTCTGTTTGTATTGCACATTGATTCTAGCTCACCAGCATTGCGGAGCTCTTCAGCGCAATTTCTTATTCCAAAGAATGTCATGAACCGTGGACCTC